CTGTGGCAGGTTCCAGAGCTGACTGGGATTCCCAATCACTGTTGCTCTTGGGCTCCAGGTGAGGTCTTCATCTGGGAGTCTCAGTTTCCCTGCCCGAGACTGGCAGGCTGCAGGTGCCCCCCGGGGGGTTTGGGCAGGACCCTCAGACCCTTCTCTGGGCTGACGATTGGGTATGATCAACGGGAAGGGGCTTCTTGGGCCTGCTCCCTGCCTTCTGTCACCCAGGCTGTAAAGATGATAGAGGGCTGGAGAGGCTCTCCAGGCTGGGGCCTGGCATGTCACAGCGCCAGCGCCCTGTGACTTATGGGCCGCAAGAAGCTGTGATTTATACAACGCGAGGCAGAGCTCCTGGGCCCGTGAGTTCCTTTCTGTGATGAAGTGCCTCGCAGAAGACGCAGCCGCTTAGCTGATGCGGGGGGACTCCGAGGCCCATCCATCTCCCTCTCCCCAGGAGGCTCGGCGGCGTTTTGCTGAACTGGCTGAACACCCGGGCATCTGTTACTCTCTCCAGAAACCATCAAACAGCTGAACTTGTCCCTGAGAGGCAGCTCAGAGGGCAGGAAGGGGAGACCCACCCAGGCCGGCTGAGGCAGCTTCAGGACGCTCAGGGGGAAGCACTTGGTAGCACACCTGGCACAGGGAGGAGGCTCGGAGCAAGCTTCTCTCTCCTGGAGTGACGGCCCGGAGTGCAAACATACCCACCTCCAGTGGGTGCTAGCCCAAGTGTGAGCTTTATTGGCTCATTAGCCCGCACGGCATCAGTCCCGTTTTACAGATGAGAAAAGTGAGGGTCAGGAACGTGCAGTGGCCCACCCAAGGCACTCTCCACTGAGTGGCGGAAGCACAGCCCTGACTCCACCCCGGTCTGTGCAGCGCCGGCCCCGCCTCCAGAGAAGCAAGCTGGTGCTAATAACTCCGCCCCCCCGTGGAAGCGGCGCCCAGAAGCCCCGGTGGATCCTCGCCGCCTCGCCTTTCGGTGATAGCTGTTGTCAGGGCTTCCCTTGAGGTGGGCGAAAATATCTATTTACTCGGCAATGGAGCAATTTCCCAAGCGAGTCTCTAACTAGCTAAGTGCCTGGTCCTGCCTCCGTCGCAGGGAAGCCGCCCACTGTGAAACACGAGCCACTCCGCAGGAAAATGTTGAAGCAGCACCCGCACCCCCCGCACACCGACACCGATCACTTTCTGCGGGGGCAGCGGCGCAGGGGCGGGGCGGGGGTGTTCTGGGTGATTCTGCGCCCCGGTCCAGTATGGCGCATGTCCCAGGAGCCTGGCCACACCCAGTGAGGCGGAACAGGGCTGGCGGAGGGCTGGACCTTAGACCCCTGTGCAGGCTGTCCCTGCACTGAGTAAGCCGGTTTAAATGGACGAGGTCGTGACCCACTCGTTCCGGGGTAGGTCAACAGGGCACCCACACCCTCTCAGCCGTGCAGGGGACCCTGGGGGAAGAAGGCTGGATTGGACCAAGGTCTCAGGCAGGGGCATGGTCTGGCCCCTTCATCTTGGGCATGCAGGGCTGTTCCATGGGGATCCTCGCAGAGTAGGGTGCACAGTGCCGGTGTGAGCCCACAGGGACAGCACGGAGGAGGGGGAGGAGCAGGCCCCCCTCAGCCTTTGCCCCCACCAATGCTGATAATGGTGGGGCCGGCAGGGCTTCGGCCCTGGCTGGTGGGGCACTGTGGGGTGGGTTCTTCTAGCGTGGAGATGACCTTGGGCAGGGGCTGCAGGTTCCATTCACCCTACAAGGAAGGGAGCAGGAGGTAAACTGAGGCTGGAGGGGCAAGATGAGGGGCAAGATGGGTGGCTGCTTCCCCAGCCACTTCCCAGCCACCTCTTGGATTCTTGCCCTCAAACTCAGCTTGTCCCAAACTGAACTCACTCTTCTCCCCCAAGTTGCTTTTTGGGGGTCCTCACCTCAGTAAATGCCCCCTCCCCCAGCTTCCCATTCACCTAGTCAGGAACCTGGGAGTCATCCAGGCCTCTCCCTGCCTCCATCCGCACCCAACTGAATCATTCACCCTAATGTAGCAACCAGAGCCCCTGGCTACAGGCTCTGATATTTTTTAACCATCTCTTTCTCTCAAGGCTGCATCAAATGCCAAGTTTTCAACCCCATCAGACGTCCGCCCCAGACTATTCTCGGGAAGCCAGTATTAGCCCGCCCTTCCCTTGGTGCTGAGGACATTTGACTTAGCAATTAATCCAGCTGCCAGATGCCTCCGGGAAGCATCTTCCTGGATCTCCAGGCTGCGGCACCGTACGCGACTAACTCCGCATAGACCCTGGGCTCCTGACCGCAGCCCGCTGGGCTCGGGATAAATTAGATGCCTGCGAATGCCAGTGGGTCTCAGACAAGAAGAAAAAAACCAGCTCGCAGATTCAGACTGGTTCGTTTCTCACCTTCCCCTCCCCGGCGCTTTATTTAAAGGTGCAGGGGGCAGATTAGTGCACCCTGCTCACACCACTGGCATTTGGCACCGGTGTGGAGGTATCACCCGGAAAGGGTGGCTGCGCTCCCTTCCTGGTCTCGGTCTCTCTCTCTTCTCTCTCTCCTCTCTCTGTTGGCTGTCTGTCTAGGCCTGTGTGTCACCACCTGGCACTTGCTCTAATTATCTTGTGCGAGTGCTTTTGCCAGCAGTTTGGAGTGCAGGCCCATCACCCCTCACTGGGATCCCCCATGAGTCCTGCCCGACTGCGTGCCCCACCCACGCCCGTGGCAGCGCACCGGGAAGCGGACAGCTGAGGACTTGTTGCAGTGCATGGAGATGGGCGCGAAGTCGTACAGGGCCTTCAGTACGTCGCGGTTGAAGGAGTTCCAGGGAACAGAGTCAAACTGCTGAGACACGGACGCCTGAGGGCAGGTGCAGACCTCCTCATTGTTGAACCTGGTGGGGACAAGGAACAGCCAGGCTGGGGAGCAGCCGACGGGCAGGGACCCCAGTGGGCACCAGTGACACCTCCCTGCAGATCTGGTCCTGTCCCTGGGGAGACCCTCCTGCTGCCTCCTCCCCAGCCCCGCTGCCTCCACCAGGCCGTCCCAGATACTGCCTTCACCAGCAACGGCTTCACCTCTCCTGTCACCTTGGCGAGTGGGTGCTCCGGGCTGGGTTGAGGAGGCTCTCAAGCCAAATCCAGACTCAGCAGAAAATGAGTGAGGGGTGACTGATGCCACCACAGGTCTCTGCTCCTAGATCTTAGCCTGGACTCCTCCAATCTGCCCAGCTGCCGGACAGGCCCAGAGGTTCTGTGTCGGGGCTCCCTGGGGGCAGGGAGCTTGTGCAGGGAGCCCTCACCTGTTGATGAGGTGGAAGTACTTCTGCAGGAAGCCAGCGTTCACAGCGCTCTTGCAGAGCTCCAGCTGCGTCTGGGGGTAGTAGTGCACATAGTTGACACACATCTCCTCCAGGATCCCAAAGCCGCCCTGCAAGTTGGAGAAGACCCGTCAGCCCCGGGCCGTGCCACACAGACATTGCCGTCCAGCAGCTTTCGCCCCATCCACGTGTTCACTGCGTCCACTTGTCTGTTCACTGCACCATGCCAGGCATGCTCTGGGGAACTAAGTCCCTGCCCTCACGGAATTGCCACCACTGGCAGGAGAAACAGGCAGCGAGTGAGTTAACCAGGACATTCCTCTCAGGTGCCGATGATGCTGTGAAGAAAAATGAAACGGGACAAGCAGATGGGGTGTTACTGTGCCCATTTCATGGGTACAGAAACTGAGTCTCAGAGCAGGCAAGGGGGCGCCCCATGGTGGCCACAGCATTGGTGGCACAGCCTGAGTAGACCCAGCCTCCCGGCCGTTGTCTGGAAGCTGTCCCCATGACCTCCAGCGAGAGCCTGGAGCCAAGCACTGCAAGGGAGGCCCTTTCCACTGCAGCCCCACGCCGTCCACCAGTCATTTCTCGAATGCGGCTCTGAGGGGAGCAGGGACTCTGGAAGACAGGACCGTGACTAGAGGTCGCAACAACCTCCAGCCTCTCAGGGCAACCCTACGGCCTGCCATCGCATGGGAGGGGCAGGGCAGGCACCCTCTGAGTCCCCACTGCCAACTTTAAGCCCCTAGCTGGGTTGCTGCTCTTGGAGCTGGTGACTGTGGAGCCTCAGCCATGGGAGGAAGAACACCAGCAGCTTGGAGGAGCTGGGGCTGGAGACAGCAAAGCTCCCCCGGCAGCAGCTCAGGTCCCAGCAGGTCAGGGGCCGGGACATGACGCCCTGGCCACCCTTGCTCATCCAGGCTCCCCGCTGTTTGTGAAGCTGCTGTGGACCTGGGGATTTCATCTGGCTAGTGGGGAAGAAAGGCAATCGTCGCTCTACGGCAGAACAAAGGGACTGGGAAAAGCTCGGTGTGGTGCTTACACCAGCTGCCACCCCCTCCTCCCATGCAGACAAAGAGCATGGGGCAGTTCTGCCCAGAGACCAAACTGGCGCCTGTTGGCCAGCACGGGGCTTTGCCAGCATTGTTCTCTGGGCCGGAATCCTCCTTTCCCAGCTTTTCTCATCCATCCCGCCCGCGTCAGATCGGGCAGATAGGCCTCCTGTGTGAGTTCCCGTCCCTCCCCACCCTCCGCCGCCGCAGACATCAAAAGGGAACTGAGTCCGACCCTGTACAGGATCTGTTCTCTTTCACCTGGGGAAGGAAATCGAATTTCAAAGGCCGCTGTCTCTTGGATCAGCAGGTGAGGAGCTGTCAGAGCATGAGAAGCTCAGATCCACCTGGGAAGCTGCCCTCCCCTTTGATCCGGCCTGGTGCTGTGATGTAGCCACCGCCAAGAGGAGGGCATGGGCCAGGGACGCCACAGAACTGCCCGCTGGGACACTGGCACCGAGGGCCTCGACCTCAAGAACGTGCATCTGAGATGTCAGTGGTGCTCACCAGGGCTGGCAGCCCTAAATGCCCGGGGACGTGGCATCGGTTCTGCCGCCATGAAGCCAGGTTGGGCAGGGAATATGCAGTCTCCTGGCTGGATACCCAGCAAGACCCTCCCGTCCCTGACCCTGGGGCTGTGCCTGCAGAATGGGGCGATGCTGGGGTCCTGCCTGGGGTGCTCCACTTGCAGAGCCCTGTGTCTGCGAGCTCACTCAGTCACTGCACAGGTGCTCAGCCGAGAGGTGGCACAGTAGGGGTTAGCACCTGCCCCCATACCAGCCCTGCCTCCTGTTCGCTGTGTGGCCTGAGTGGCTGGACCTCACTGTGTCTCCTGGTGGGATCTGCTCAGAGGTCTCAGCAAGGCTTGGTGTGGTTAGGATGAGTTATTAGAGCAGTGCTGAGCTGTGGCCAGCGCCCGACATCAGCCACTGCCGTGATATACTGGGCACCTCCTCTAGAGAGAATAAAGGACTGGCAAAGCTCTCCCACCCCCCAACCCTGAATCTGTGATCAGGGACCTAGGGCAATTGTCACCTGAAATCCAAGGGAGACAGGAAGGGTGTGGTAAGAACCGTGAGGCACAAGGCCCTGGGTCAAATCCCAGCTCAGCCATCTATCAGCTGTGTGACTTTGGTCAAGTGCCTGCCCTCTCTGAGCCTTTATGTCTCACCTGTGAAAATACAAACACTGGCTGGGTGCTGTGACTCATGCTTGTAATCCCAGCATGAGGGATTACATGAGGAGCTCAAGACCAGCCTGGCCAACAGGGTGAAACCCCGTCTCTACTAAAAATACAAAAATTAGCTGGGTGTGGTGGTGCGCGCCTATAATCCCAGCTACTTGGGAGGCTGAGGCAGAGAATCACTTGAACCTGGGAGGCGGAGGCTGCAGTGAGCTGAGATCGCACCACTGCATACCAGCCTGGGCAACAGTGCGAGACTCCATCTCAAAATATATATACATACATACATACATTATATATATATATGAGAAATACAAACACTCCTACCTTGGAGACTGGTGTGAAAACTAAATGAGAGGCAGAGACCACGCAGATGCCCATCAGTGGATGAATGGAGACTCAAACCGTGGTCCCTCCATACAATGGGATGTTACTCATCCGTGAAAAGGAATGAGGTACTGACCCACGCTAAAACGTGGAGAAACCTCGAAGTCATCATGCTATGAAAAAAGCCAGACACGAAAGGCCACGTATCATGTGACTCTATTCACATGAAGTGTCCAGAATAGGAAAGTCCACAGAGACAGAAAATAGATCAGTTGCCAGGCTGAGCGGGGAGGGGAATGAGGACCGGCTGCTTAAGGGATATGGGGTTTCCTTTGGGGGTGATGAAAATGTTCTAAAATTTACCATGACGATGGGTTGCATGGATCTGTGAATTTACAAAAAACCATACAATTGCACACTTTAAATGAGTGAATGGTATGGCATGTGAATTACATCTCAGTAAAGCTGTTTAAAAAGAAACAAATAGGCCGGACACAGTGGCTCACACCTGTAATCCCAGCACTTTGGGAGGCCGAGGGGGGGCGGTGGATCACAAGGTCAGGAGTTCGAGACCAGCCTGGCCAACATGGTGAAAATCCGTCTCTACTAAAAATACAAAAATTAGCTGGGCGTGGTGGTGTGTAGTCCCAGCTATTTGGGAGGCTGAGGCAGGAGAATCGCTTGAACCCGGGAGGTGGAGGTTGCAGGGAGGTGGAGGGTGCAGTGAGCTGAGATCGTGCCACTGCACTCCAGCCTGGGCGACAGAGCGAGACTCCGTCTCAGAAAAAAAATAAAAAGAAAAAGAAAACCATGGCAGTCTGGGCTCAGTAAATATCAGGTGAATCTACGTTGGATTAAAACACAAAGAATAGGGCTGTGACATGGACCCGAGTTCCTGGCACTGAGGGGTGTCCGGGTAGCTGTAACCCAGGTCTGCTGCACTCTGAGCCACACCATTCACAGGATAATTATTGGAGCCCACCATGGATACCAAGGCAGCTGGCATGGATCCACTGGCAGGGCGGCGCGTGTGCCAGGACAGCCCTGGCTTGTGCCTGGGACCCAGGTAATTGTGAACAGCACCCCCTTTGGCTCCCGGAAACAGCCCTGCTGCGTGGTACATCACATGGCTGCCCATGTCCTGGTGCTGCCTGCACACCCAGCCTTCAAAACAGATCTCCCCAGTGCAGATTCTCCTTGAACTGTCTGCAGTCCAGCCAAAATGCATCCTCAGCTGACGCTCACACTGCCTTACCCCTCCCCATGTCTCCACCCTCTCCTCCTCTCCTTTCCGTCCTGAGAATGTTCCTGGTCCTCTGGGCCTTCCCGCACACAGCCCCTGCATGGAGCCTTCCTCCACCTCCTCCCCTCTCCCCTGGGCTCCATGTGACAGCCACATCTCTGACGAGGCCCTCCCAGGTCCCTGCACCTCTGGCTCCTCAACCTGGTTTTGAAAGTTTCTTTTTTATAATTTTGCTTGTTGTTAGCAGCAGGTGCTCCAGGCCCGTCTCCCCGGTGCACCTGGAGCTCCACGGGGCAGAGATCAACCTCTTGTCCTACAGCTTCTCCCCACACCAGCCCCGGGTGCTGAGAAGTTTCTTGGTGTGAGTGCTTCTCAACCTTGAGCAGGGGTCAACATCCCCTGGGAGCTTGTTAAAACATGGATTTCCCAGTGCCACCACCCATGTCTCTGACTCAGTGGGCCTGGGGTGGTACCCGGCAGGTTGCATTTATCCCAAGCTCCCTGGTGATGCTGCCACTGCGGGTTCAGGGAGCAGGTGCTGAGAACGACTGGCTTATTGAGGGGATGAGCCCATGTCCTAAGTGAGGAGTCAAGACCTGTCCTCCTTCCTCAGACAGCCCAGGCTGAACACTCTCCCTGGGCAGGTGAAAGGGGAAGCGGGGGTGACTTACCACTGTGGCCAGCTCCCGGTCTTCCGTGTTGTACGTGCAGGACGTGATGAGCACATCTCCCTGAGGAAAAGCCAACATGACCTGGCGTTGGCAGGCACTCGAGGCCTCGCCCCCGTGGGACCACGCCACTGTGTGGGCCACGGCACCTCTGGGGTACAGTCCCTGTCATCCACTACAAGGAGCCCAGCAGATTCATGCGCAAAGGTCACAGGCTGAGTGTCCCCGGGAAGTTATAAACCATCAGCTCCTGTGACCCAGTGGGTCACAACAGGGTCCAGGCCAGTGGGGATGCAGGCGGGTGGGTCATGACACATCTCAAGGAACTTGGGCAAGTCCCCACTGAGGCCTGAGCTTGGCCTTCTGTGGGATCAGGGCTCCACTGCCTGCCTTAGTGCCCTCATCTCCTCCAAACGCTCTCGGGTTTGTGGTCGGCCCGTCAGGCTGAGGATACGCGTCCCCTGGGAGTGTCCTGTCTGCTCCCCCACTTCCGATGTCCCTCCATGAACTCCCAAGTGAGTCTCCTCATGAGGCAACCCAACCCTGAGCCACCCACAGGCACCCTCCCCCTGCCCTGGACAGCTCTCCCCTCCCCCCATCACTTTCTCTGTCCCTCTCCGTCTGGCGGCACCCCCAGCCCTCCCAGCCATCCCAGCTGGTGGCGGCGACTGGGACTGCCTTCCTGCTGGGCACTCACCCGATGGACCGACACCATCTTCTTCAACATGCGGATCTCCTGGGGCAAGCAGAGCCGAGGGGTTGGGGGAGAGGAGATCTCAGAGAGCTGCAGACCAGACCCCCGGCCACTGTGTCCTCCCTCAGGCCTCCCTGATCTCTGGGGGTGTCCATTTTGCCCCAGCCTCTACAGTGGAAGCCAGGGCCGGCTAAGTGTGGCTTCTGGCCAGGGAGGGCGTTAGATTCAAACCAGAAGGTGGTTATCCAAGACCAAGACGGATGTGACCAGAGGGCTGCTCGGGTCTCCCGAATCCCACCACCATCTGCCATGTGCCAGAGACCCTCTCTACAATCAGACACCCAAGCAGGGAGCACAGGCCACATGGTGGGGGGCTGGCCCAGGAGAAAGAAGCCAGCCTGGGGCCATCCCTATGGTATCAGGAGACAGTAGGCTCAGCAGGTCGCGTGGGGGCAGGGCATGGGGGTGGGGCG